TTTCGGAGGGGGGGGGGGGCGACCCCCGGGCTCCGGAGGAAAAGGCTGGAAATTTTCCACAGTAAAGCGGCGGTGGATCACGCTCTCTCTTATGTGAAGGCCCCTTCCACATAAGGAATGAACAAGTTGGAGGCCCCTCCACATAAGAAATCAATCTGGAGATCCTTGCACATAAGAAATCAACATGTGGAGGTCCCTCCACAGACGGAATCAACATGTGGAGATCCCTTCAACATGAGGAAACAATATGTAGAGGATCCCCCACAAGAGGAATCAGGCCCTTTCCACATCAGGATTCAACGAGTGGGAGGCCCCTCCACACAAGATATCATTATGGAGGCCCCTTGCACATATGGAATCATTATGTGGAGGTCTCTCCACAAATGGAATCAATATGTGGAGGCCCCTACACATAAGGAGTCGATGTTTGAAAGCCCTTCCACATAGGAATCAATATGTGCACGCCCCTTCATATAAAGAGATAAAATGTGAAGGCCCCTTCCACAGAAAGAATCTACAAGTGGGAGGCCCCTCCACATAAGAAATCAATATGGAGACCCCTTGCACGTAGGGAATCAATATGTGGAGGTCCCTCCACAATCGGAATCAACATGTGGAGGTCCCGTTCACATAAGGAATCAAAATGTGGAGGATCCCCCACAAAAGGAAACAATATAACCTTTATCCTCCTCATTTTTCTCCTCCTCCTCCTCCTTCCCGAAAAAGAAGGGAAACAAGAAAAGGACAACAACTTATGCGTTCACATGGGGAAAAAAAGGAACCAACTCCGCCTCAGAGGGCGGGGAGGGGGAAAAAGGAAAAACACGCCCTGCCCTTGTCTGTTTTCCTCCATTGGGGGAGACGGAGGGGGAGGAGGGGGGAATGTTGTTCTTCCTCCCTGCCCTCGGAGGCGGAGTGTTTTTCCTTCTTTTCTATGTGAAAACATAGTTAAAAACATGTGTTTCATGTTTTTTTTGTTTTTTCGCTCTCCCGTTCGTCCCCTCAAGGTTTCCCCGCCGCCCCAGGGGGGGCCCGAAAAAGAGGAACAAACGGAAACATAGGGAAGCACCTGTGTTTTCACGGGAGAAAAAAGAAACAAACTTCGCCTCCGAGGGCGGGGAGGGGGAACAATTTTTAAAAAACACCTTCCTCCGTCTCCTCCGCCTACTCCTCTCCCTCTACTCCTCTCCCCCCCCCCTCTGGTATCATACCACTCGCCGTTCGCAGCCGCCGTTCGCAGAACGGCAAATCGTATGATACCAGGGGGGCGACCATATACATATATATATATATATATGTATAGTATGGATATGGATGGATGGATGGATGGATGGATGGATGGATGGATGGAAGGATATATATATATATATATATATATATATATATATATATATATATATTTATATTAGGGATGCCTCTGGGGGATCTCTTGGGACCCCTTTTGGAGGCCTTTTGGAGACCTCTTGGGGCGTCTCGCAGACGTCTTCGGCCGTCTTGAGGCCATCTTGGGCGTCTTGGACGGAACGGTCGGTGACTCGGAGGCCCCTTGGACCGTCTTGGGGCCTTCTTGTGGTCCTCTTGGCGCGCTCTGAGGCGCCTGAAAGGCCGCACCCAGGAGGAAAGCAATTTCTGAACCAACTGGGCCAGGCTTCTCCCGTGGTGCCTTTCGCCCGGGGACCGCCAGTGGCCGCTTCGCGCGCGCGAGCTAATTTGCAGAATTGCTTGTTACCAGTTGCCGGGGTTCTCTGCAAGCCTCAGGCCCATTGGGTCGGCGAATTTCTTTCAGCATTGCACATTGCCCTTCGGCAAAGAACACTATCGACACGCTTTGAAAAAGTATGTGAAACGGCATCTTGTACACCAGGCTTCGGTTCGCTGCAAGCACAAGCAAGCGAACGATGATCTAGTAATCCACCTCCGTGGTGGAGATTTGGCTGTGTCAGATTCAGATCATCCACAAAGCCGAATGCCGCCGTGCTCCTTTTATCGCCATTTGATTACTGCTAATGGTTTTCAAAGTGTCAGGCTCGTCGTCGAGGACGGGAAGAAAGACCAGTATTGTCGGAACAACATATTGCAAGCATTTCGTGGCAGTTCAGTTGTGGTCAGGGAGACTGATCATAGTTTCCTCGACGATGCCTGCACGATTATGACTAGCCGATACGTCGCATTTGGCCTGACTACATTTGCGGAGATGTTGTCGATGATGAGCGACGAACTCAGGACCGTGTATGTACCGTCTTTGAAATATAACGGCAAAGGTCTAGACACGCGTTATGGCAATACCAGAGACATGTGTGGTTCGCTGGAGTGTAGCCAGAACTATTCTGATACTTGTGCCGGTAATTTCATAGAGTACAGGTTGTACGACGTTCCTGGATTGGAGAAGATCAGGAAAGGTGGAGACAAGAAGAGGTACATCTTGCAGGAAGGAGTCGAATTTACCGACCCGAAGATATGTGGTCACTGTGTTGTCTGACATGGCTCGCTCGTTGTTCTGCGGTCTTTCTGTTCGTGTCTGCCTAGCCTAGTTGATAACATTACCGTGGCATCGTCATGATCATTGTGATGTGTGATAGCTCTGGTCATCGTGGAACATTCGGCATATCACCATCGCGAAATCGTCGTGGCCACTGTGAGATGGTGGTGCCCATCATCGTAGAATCGCCGTGATCATTATGATGTGTGTTTGTGCTGTGAGTCAGCAATCATTTTGGCAGTTTAGCTTGTCCTTCCCCCGGCTACACGGAGATTTTCGTTGGATATCCCCAGGGAGGCATTTGTTATTCCCAACCCTCATGTGCGTCGGGCTTTCGTTTTGAATAGGGCACTGCTATTCCCCTCATATCCGTCTCTTCCTCTTCGTCCCCCATTCTCTTGCCTCCTCCTGCGCTGCTCTCTGGAAGGCTGCGAACTGCGCAACCGTTGCCGCTTTGATGGGCTCCTACGTAGGAGGTCCAGCGGAGTGGAGTTGCACGCGGACCCATTGGGGACCTCGCGGCTCCTTGGGCGGCTGCGAGCTGCGCAACTACCGCAAGTTTCGTGGGCCCCTAGGAGGTCCAGCGTAGCGGAGTTACACGCGTACCCATCGGGTACCTCGTTGTTCTTTGGGTGGCTGCGAGCTGCGCACGGACGCCACGTTCGTGGGCTCCTGGGAGGTCCAGCGGAGTGGAGTTACACGCGGACCCAGTGGGGACCTCGCTGCTCCCTGGGCGGCTGCGAAGTGCGCAACCGTCGCCAGTGTCGTGGGCTCCTGGGAGGTCAAGCCGATTCGGGAGCCACGCAGACCCAGTGGGGACCCCGCTGCTCCTCGGGTGGCTGCGAACTGCGCAACTGTTGCCACGTCCATGGGCTCCTCCCGTCGTGCGATTGGCCGGCTGGTTCTTATTAAACATGTGCTAGAATTGGGGAATTCAGGCAGCACGGCATTACGTTAAGTTCGTTTCTAGGTCTGCATGTGTTTTGAAACCGATTCGTCCAAAGGCCTGCAGATACCTCCCAGAGGTCAAAAACTCTTCTTATCAGTGCCTCCCAGTTCGCAAACTGGAACATACACATTACCAGTGGCGGGTTGTTCTTGAATCCCAGATCTTTTTGAGGGTCGGGGACGACGCTGGGGTGTTGTGGTGTATACTTTTTTCCTCGATGTCCCGGGGAAGCAATGCAACATATATACACCAGGGTCCCGTATAGACCAGAATCCGCTCTCCAGCGCAAATTTCAATGCAGAAAAATCGTCGGTGTATAGAGTTCGATTCCTTACCAATGTCGGGTATAGCCAGGACCCCGTGTGAGGGGACCCGGTTAGTGGTAGGGCCCTGGGGCCCCTCAATTGGCCAGATGCACTAAACCAGGTCTGCCGTCACTTGTGTTTTTCGGGTGACGGCAGTTCCGGTTAGTGGAAGTGGGACGGGGGGGCGCCCCCTGTACAAATTCTTAAACCAGGTTCCATTAAACCCAGTTTTGCCAACGCCCAAAGGAAGCACCCAGGAGGTTCTCGGGAGGTCTTCAAGAAGCACCCTAACAAAACATCCCAGAACCATTCTAGATGGGTAGATCGTTCTATGTTTGGCGGCGCGAAAGTTGCGGACCTCGATATTACCTTCCCCGAGGCCCAACACGCCATATTATTGTTTCTCTCGGCCTAAGAAGGATCCGAATGTCGTTGCGTGATATCCGACCCCGAACCAAACCTCTGGGTCGGTGTTGGAGGTCGCCGCGGCGATCGCGGCGGCCACACATCGGGGCAAGATGTTTGTCAAGTAGTGGCATGCCCCTCCTCAGTCCCCCCCCCCGCTGTGCGATGTGGACGGCACACGTGGTTCATCATTACCAACATAGCGACAGGGAGTTGACAATTTATGTCCAGCACATGCGGTCATGCTTTTCTGTCTAGGGGTCGAGCATCACGCCACCCGAATGAGATCATGCGCCTCGCAGGAGGGTGCAAAGCGGCCCCCGCGCCGTCAAAGGCGACGTCCCCGGACGCCCAGGGCTCTTCCGGGGGGAGCCGAGACGGGGCCCGAGGCGCACAAAGATCGCCCCTGTATTTGGCATCGCTCGGACGTGTGCATTTTTTCTCGGCGAGGACCATCGAGGAGCATCTTTGATCATTCAGCGCAAAATGCACGCACGAACTTGAAACATGCACGGGGAATGGACGTCCGAGCGATGGCGAGTATATACGTATCAGTATCCACTGCTCCAGGCCAGGCCCATCCTGGACCCAGGAATGGTGTGCATGCTTGTCCAGCCTGGCCGGGGAGACGTATCCACAACTCCTGGGCGACCGCGACGACGAGCGCCGGCCTCGATGACCACAACGACGACGACGACGACGACGACGACGACGACGACGACAACGACGACGACATCGTCGACGGCGGCGGCGGCGGCAGCGGCGGCGGCGACGGCAACGGCGACGGCGACGGCGACGGCGACGGCGACGGCGACGGCGACGACGACGACGACGACGTCGTCGCGCGGAGGGGGCGCGGCAGGCGCCCCGCCTGTCGAATCCCGCGCAGTTCGTGCCCGTCGCGTTCCTGCGCGCGCCCCGGCGGGGGTGGGTGGGGGGGCACGTCGGGAGCCTCGAGACGGGGGTCAATGCAAACGGGGGTCAGCCAGGGCACCGGATCCTGCAGGATCCTGCGAAGATCCCCTCTGGCTGACCCGGGTTAGCGAGCCGCTCGTGGCCGCGAGGCGGCCGCGCATATTGGCTGACCCGGGTTTGCGAAGACCTGCGTTGCAGTTTTTTTTTCCTGCATTGACCCGGGTCAGAAGATCCCCTAGCACTGCTTGCCATGACGCATCGGGGCCTCCCAAGAGGAGGGTGAAGTTTACAGCCAAGACGCTGAAGTAAGGCACAGTTTGGATCTGGAAGGGGCTCGACGTTCCTCAGGTTTCTCCTTTGCTGTGCCTCCTGCCCTCCTGGGGCACGGAGGCGCTTTCAGGGCCAAGAAGGGGCTTCGCTCCTTATTTGGCGTTCTTTCTTTCAGCGGCCCGACTGTAGGGGTGTGCAGATATCATGGCCGGGGCCATGAGGTCTCCCAGCAAATAATGACCGAGGACGACGAGTTGCATTTTGTCCAGGAGCCGTCTCCCTCAAGCCCGTCTCCTGCAGCACAGCCCGAACTCTCTCTTCGCGCTTTTGGAGACCCCCATGGTGAAGCGTATGGGGCCTCCCTGAACATACGGGTGGCTTCGTCTGATGCACATGCAAAAAATATTGCCACTGTCCCTAATGTTACTAGGGCCGCCACGAGGGTGCGAAGTCAGTAGCGCTCCGCAATCTGGGAGATGTCAGAGCGAGGCGCAAGTCCCTCATCCTCTCCTGGGGGAGGGGGCGGCAGGAAAGCGCGAAGACAATCGCGCTTCGCGGAGCGCGAAGCGCGAAGCTAGTTTGCCTTGGTGTTTTTGGCCAACCTAACATAGGTCACCTCTCAAAGGTTAGAGGGTACTTCTGCAGCCAAGACGCTGAAATAAGAAACTGGTTGGGTTCGGAAGGGGCTCGATGTTGCCGAGGTCCTCCTGTGGCTGCTCCTCTGGCCCTCCTCTTGCACGCGCGCGCTTTTTGGGGCCAGAGATGGCCTTCGTTCCCGAGGTATCGCTCCTCATTGCAGCCCCGAGCGGTCTCAGCACCCCAGCGCCGCCTCCGGCGGCCGCCCTGCGGCTCTCCGCGCCGCCCGCGCCCCAGGGGCTGGGTCGGGGCGGACGAAAGGGGGGGATGGGGACAGGGGAGGGGTACGAAATCTGCTGCGTGCAGCTGGTTTCGGCCCCGCCGAGGGGCCCAGTCCTCGATATGTGGTCACCTCCGGCGCCGGGAGGCGCTGAGAAAATCAGCTACGAGAGCTGATTCTCCCGCCCCCCTTTGCTAGCCCCCCCTTGCGCCCGGCCCGCTCCTCCTCCTGCTCCTCCTCCTCCTCCCCCTCCTCCTGCTCCTCCTCCTCCTCCTCCTCCTACTCCTCCTCCTGCTCCTCCTCCTCCTCCCTCCTCCTCCCTCCTCCTCCTCGTCCTCCTCCTCTTCCTCCTCCTCCTCCTCCTCCTCCTCTTCCTCCCCTTTCGCCCGGCCCGACTGGGGTGCCGAGACCGCCCTGGGCCACTCGCGGGAGGCCCGCGGAGGCCGGCCGCTCCGCAGAGGCCGCGGAGGCGCTCGGGGCACCACCGGGGGGGGCCCACGGAGGGCCAGGCGAGCGCAGGCGTGGATCAATGGGGGCAGGCGAGCAGAAGGCGCCCATCGCGCCCGCCCAAGAGGAGGGAGGGGGGGGGGAGGGGGGGGAGGAGGAGGAGGAGGAGGAGGAGGAGGAGGAGGAGGAGGAGGAGGAGGAGGAGGAGGAGGAGGAGGAGGAGGAGGAGGAGGAGGAGGAGGATGGAGGAGGAGGAGGAGCAGGAGCCAGGCGATCGCAGACATGGACTCAGGGGGCGGGTCCCGTCTCCATGGGACATCGCGGATTTCCGCCGCCGAACGCGGCGGCACCGGCCGCATTTTGGGGAGGGCACATCCCAGAAGTGGTGTTTTGGAAGGATTCAGAATTTTGCGGTTGCAACGGTTACGTTGATTCTCTGTGTTGACGTCCTAGGAATGGCGTTTCATGGCACGATGCAGGATCATCAACACGCAACAGGCAGGGTGCTCCGTGGCGCTGTATTCCCGAGAACAATGTCTTGCGATGCTTCAGGGTCTTCAAACGTGTGTCTTCCAACGAGACAGTTCCATCAATGGAGATGAACCTGGAGGGAAAAAACACACAGACACTATTAATCATCGATTCCACCGAAAATATTTGAAAATATGGGAAGTGGGGGGGAAAACGAAAATCCAGAAAATACATGAAAATATAGGGAATCCTGTTATTTCCCCATATCCTAAGATGGGGTTCTTGTTATTACTTGGACGCCTCCTACTCCTTCTTCTTCTCCTCCTCCCCTCTTCTCGTCTCCTCCTACTTAGACTCACTCATACTCAGATTCACTCATACACAGACTTACTCATACACAGACTTACTCATACACAGACTCACTCATACTCAGACCTGATCACATTAACTTACTCATACTCAGACCTACTCATACCCAGACCTACTCATACTCAGACTTACTCATACTCAGACTTCCTCCTTCTCCTCCTCCTTTTACTCAGAGTTCCTCATACACAGACTTACTCATACTCAGAATTACTCATACTCAGACCTTCTCATTGTCTGACTTATTCGATAAACAGCAGATTGCGAGGATGTCTCAGGCGGGGCGCTGGTTTCAGCACCCCTAAGGGGAGCCGCCGAGGGGTGTTGCACGGTCCCGTTCGCGGCCGTTTTGTGGGGATGTCTCAGGCGGTTTGCCTGTTTGTCTTGCCAACATCCTTCGCTTTCGGAGCAGATTTGGAGGATGTCTCGAGCGAGGCGCTCATTTTCACCCCCCAGGTGGGCCAGATTTTGAGGATGTCTCGATCGGTTTGCTTGTTTTGGTGGCCAGGCTCGTGGCCCTAAGGGGAGCCGCCAGGGGTGTTGCACGGGCCGTTCGCGGCCATTTTGTGGGGATGTCTCAGGCGGTTTGCCTGTTTCTGGGCCAACATCCTTCGCTTTCGGAGCAGATTTGGAGGATGTCTCGAGCGAGGCGCTCATTTTCACCCCCCAGGTGGGCCAGATTTTGAGGATGTCTCGATCGGTTTGCTTGTTTTGGTGGCCAGGCTCGTGGCCCTAAGGGGAGCCGCCGAGGGGTGTTGCACGGTCCCGTTCGCGGCCGTTTTGTGGGGATGTCTCAGGCGGTTTGCCTGTTTGTCTTGCCAACATCCTTCGCTTTCGGAGCAGATTTGGAGGATGTCTCGAGCGAGGCGCTCATTTTCACCCCCCAGGTGGGCCAGATTTTGAGGATGTCTCGATCGGTTTGCTTGTTTTGGTGGCCAGGCTCGTGGCCCTAAGGGGAGCCGCCAGGGGTGGTTGCACGGGCTCGTTCGCGGCCATTTTGTGGGGATGTCTCAGGCGGTTTGCTTGTTTCTGGGCCCAACATCCTTCGCTTTCGGAGCAGATTTGGAGGATGTCTCGAGCGAGGCGCTCATTTTCACCCCCCAGGTGGGCCAGATTTTGAGGATGTCTCGATCGGTTTGCTTGTTTTGGTGGCCAGGCTCGTGGCCCTAAGGGGAGCCGCCAGGGGTGGTTGCACGGGCTCGTTCGCGGCCATTTTGTGGGGATGTCTCAGGCGGTTTGCTTGTTTCTGGGCCCAAAATCCTTCGCTTTCGGAGCAGATTTGGAGGATGTCTCGAGCGAGGCGCTAATTTTCACCCCCCAGGTGGGCCAGACTCCAGGAGGCCCCAGGAGACCACATGAGGTACCAGGAGGCATCAGGAGGCCACAGAAAGACTCAAGAGGCCACAGGATGTCCCAAGAGGCTCCAGGAGGCCCCAGGAAGCTCCAGAAGGCCTCAGGAAACCACAGGAGGCCCCAGGAGGCAACAGGAAGCGCCAGGAGGCCTCGGAAGGCAACAGGAGGCCCCGAGAGGCCCCAGGAGCAGGAGGCCTCAGAAGGCAACAGGAGTGGCTCCAATCCCATGTGTTTTACGTATGCTCCTATCGATTGGGCCTCACCTGGAGCACGATTCTTTGATGTTCTACGTATGTTTCTATAGATGGTCCTTCTCTTGTGTACACAATCCTAAATGTTTTACTCATGTTCCTATATATTGGGCCTCTCCTGGGGCACGAGTCCTTGGTGTTTTACGCGTGTTCCTATAGATTGCCCTTCTCCTGTGGCTCTAATCCGCAATGTTTTATGTACGTCTGTTGCTATAGATTGCGCCTCTCCTGGGGCACGAAACCTTCCTAGGAGGTCCCAGGAGGTCCCAAGAGGCTCCTGGAGACCCCAGGAAGCCCCAGTAGGTTTCAGGAGGCCCCAGGAGGCCCCAGGCTCATGCACAGAGACGCGCTCGTACTACTGAGGCTCATTCACACTCCAATTCATTCGCAGTTAGATTGATGTCCAGACCGTCACAACTGAAGCCTGTTAATATTCGAAAGCTCTTGCGCCTAGACATTCACGGCGGACAGGTCCATGCGAGTAGATGCACATATGGGGAGCTCCACGCAGTGAATAATTGTGTGTATTTATTTGTGTGTCCCAGGGTCCCTTCAATGAACCCAGCCCCCGATCCGTGGATATTCGGCGGCCGCGCGGCGCCCCCGAGAGGAGGCGGCGGAGGGGTCGCGGACGGCCGCCGGGCCCTGCCAGCGAAGTGCGACGGCTCACGCTCAGGCTCAAGTCGGGCCTGTCCCCCTACAAGGGGATTTTCGACGAAAAATGAAAAATAGTCCAAAAATAGTCTGGGAACTATTTTTTGAGTAATTTTTGATCTTTTTGGGGTATTTTTAGGGTGTGTTTTATTGGAGAGGCCTGACGGCCGGTGCCGCCGACCCTGATCGAAAGGGCTAGGAGTGGGGGGAGGAAGCGGAGGATGAGGAGGAGGAGGAGGAGGAGGAAGGAGGAGGAGAGAGGAGGAGGAGGAGGAGGGAGGAGGAGGAGGAGGAGGAGGAGGAGGAGGAGGAGGAAGGAGGAGGAAGGAGGAAGTGCATCCTTTGTGTGCCCGCTCGAAGAAAGTGCGCCCGGGGAGTGTGATATTCTGACTTGGGACGTGCTCCCGAAAGAGGAAGAAGTGCATCTCGGGCGTGCCCGCTCGAGGAAAATGCGCCCTATAGGGGGGTGGTATTTTGACTCGGGGCCCGCTCCCGGGACGCCTCTGCGGGAGGAGGAGGAGGAGGAGGAGGAGGAGGGAGAAGGAGGAGAGGAGCAGGAGGAGGAGGAGGAGGAGGAGGAAAAGGAGGAGGAGGAGGACCAGGATGAGGAGGAAGTGCATCCCGTGCGTGCCCGCTCGAGGAAAGTGCGCCCCGGCGGGCGTCGTATCTGCCCCGGCCCCCCCCCCCCCTCCCCCCCCCCTCCCCCCCCCCCTGCGGGGAAGGGATCAAAGGGAAGGGGCTTCCCTTCGACTCCACTACGACGTCGTTTAATCTCTCTTTGGATAGCGCGCTTGAGGAGGAGAGCCCTGGGAGGGGGAGAACGGAGACGACGGAGACGACGAGTCGAACGGAGAAGCCCCGCACACACGCCGACAGGGTCGGCGGATTTATCGTTGAAAATCCCCCCTGTAGGGCGGAGAAGCCCCTCACACACGCCGACAGGGTCGGCGGATTTATCGTCGAAAATCCCCCCTGTAGGGGGACACGCCCGACAGAAGCTCAGGCCCCCCGCGCACGCCCACCCACCCCGAAGCACAGCTGTCGACGGTGCGAGGACCGGGGCGTGGGCGGGCGCCTTTCCGTGCGCCACCCGTAGCCTCACCAAACCCCTCGGCATCGCTCGGACGTGTGCATTTTTTCTCGGCGAGAACCATCGAGGAGCATCTTTGATCATTCAGCGAAAAATGCACGCACGAACTCGAAAAATGCACTGTTTTTTTTTTCAATGCACTTTTTTTTTTTTTTCCTCGGCGAGGACCATCGAGGAGCATCTTTGATCATTCAGCGAAAAATGCACGCGCGAACTCGAAACATGCACGGGGGATGGACGTCCGAGCGATGGCGAGACCCCCGTTGGGGGAGGGGGCGGCGGGGGTCTCCTGAGGTATCGCGCGCGATTCGGGGCCCTTGGCGCGGCGCTCTTCTGTGACCCACCGCGCCACACTGCGCCCTGGGCAGTCGCGCATCAAGTGTATCTGTCTGGCCTCTTCCTGGATCTCTTGACTCTTGAGGGTGTCCCCATCTGCAGAAGAAGGACGCAGGAAAGCTGCATAAGCATCAACTGTCGGAGGTCCGACTGGATTTCTTGGATCGGCGCTGGGTCCCCCTCCCTGGCCCGCGGAGCGCGCCAGGGGCGGCGCTGGAGGTGCCGCCATGGGGGCCAGCGCCGACTCGAGGAACATGCGCGGAGCTCCGAATAGCTCTGTTTGCGTGTGGTGTCTTGCGGTTCCTCCACTCTGGGCGCCGCCTCGGGGCAAGCCCGAGGAGTACCATGGTCCCTGGGGGTCGCCCGGGGAGGCACGGCCGCGCGTCTGGAGGCCGCCCGGAATAGTTTCAGGTGCGATCGGAAATGGGTACAGTCAACCCGCAGAGGAAGGATGGGCAACCTTCCCCAGGGTACCCTTGCATCCTTGCCTCCTCGGTTCATCCTTGAACACTTTTGTTGCCCGCGCCCCGCTCGAAAATCTTCAGAATGGGCGTCCAAGGGCCTTGCATCCTTATCGCGCATGCTTACTCTGCGGGTTGACTGTACGGAGTGAATGTCAGAGTAGGAGAAGGTACCGATATCCCTGCTCGCCCTGGAGCGTTTTCGTCGCCATGGCTGGATGCTCCTTGGAATCCTGGCCAGAACGCACCTCTGGAGAGGTCCGTGGAGCAGCGGTGTACTTTGTTGTCCCGCCAGCATGGGGACGAACATTCACAGCAGGTTCTGCTCATTTTGAACAGGACTCGCTCTCGGTGTTGCCGCGGGCGCTGTCTATTTGAGTCAAAGGATCGCTTGCCCGACAGCGGCCGCTATCGGTGTTGATCAGCGTTTGCTGTTGGACATCGTACCAGTTTCCTGTCCGTACCCATGTCAGGCGTGCCAAAGTTTGGAGGAGGGTGGTGCCCCCCCCTCTCTTTATCGTCCTTCCCTCGTCTCTCTGTCGTTCCCGCCGTTCTTGACCACTCTCCTGTGCCGCTTCCCTTTGTCCTCGCCCTTAGACGCGCGCACACAAACGCTCTCGGTTTGCATCCTCCTCGGACCCCACATATTCCGATTCCACCCCCTCCTCCTCCTCCCCCTCCTCCTCCTCCTCCTCCTCCTCCTCCTCCTCCTCCTCCTCCTCCTCGGAAGCCGTGACACACGCCTGACGTCGCGCGCTGCTGCATCCGAGCGCCAACCTGGAGCCTGCAGCAGCCTGGCCCGCACGGCGCACGCGGACGCAGCCTCGCGCAGGAGGCCCGCCGCCAGCCGGCGGTGTGCCGTGCGACGAGATCCGTGCGTCGTCACCGCCGCTGGCCTGCTCTCGGGCGTGGGCAGAACTGGGTTTTTAGTGGGACCTGGCTTGGTGATGTGTGTGGGGGGCGCTCATCCGGGACCCAGGTCGGGCGTTGGCAGAACTGGGTGTAGTGGGACCTGGCTTCGTGATGTGTACTGGGGGGCGCCCCCCCCGCCCCAGTTCCACCGACCGGAACTGCCGCCATCCGAAAATGACAGGTTACGGCAGATCTGGCTTGGTGATTCTGGCCAATGTAGGGGCTCCGGGGCCCTACCACTAACCGGATCCCCTTACCTGGGGTCCTGGCCATGCCCGATGCTCCTCCGGGACCCGGGAGCGGTGCACGTGCCTCCCAGTTGGGCCCTGACAGCGGCGGTGCATACGCACGCATGGAGTTAAGTCGGGCTTGTCCGTTTACAAGGGGGATATTCAAAAATAGTAATAAAAAAAAAATAGTCCGAGAACTATGTGTTAAGTATTGTTTGACAATTTCGGAGTATTTTGAGAGTATGTTTTTTTTTTCGCCCAAAATCCCCCTGTAGGGGGACAGGCCCGACCTAAACGCTCGCATAGAGCTCATCGCCCAAGCACGGTATAGGCTCGCGTCGTGTCGACCGGCGGCGGCCCCGCCGCCGGCGTTCCACGTTGCACGCCGGCGTTCAACGTTCAGAACAAAAAAACAAAAAAGAAACGCCGGCGGTGGCCCAGGGATCAGTCGATGCGGAACGATTTGGACGCTGCGGAACCTGCCGATCGCGAGCAAGGTTGAACGATCCCCGCGGCGTCAGAAGCCAACGCCGCAGTCGGCACGGCACGACCCTGCCGTACGCAAAGAGCTCATCGCCCAAGCAGGGGCGCGAGTGGCCGCGGTGCTCCATCGTGGCCGTTGCGGCCCCGCCGGTCCACGGTGGTGACGGTGCCGCCGTCGCGGGTCCCCGGTCAGGGACCCCAGGGGCAGCGGGCCGGGCGTCTCGGCGTCTCGGTGGCCAGCCGAGGTCTTGCACCATAGCCTTCCTGTACTGCGTCTACGTCTTCTGCCACTGCCTGCCGCTGATGCAGCTGAAGGAGCAGCCAGACATGGTCGGGGGCTCGGAGGACGAGGGCGCAGGAGGGAGGAGAAGGATGGGACGAATACCTGCAGTCGTGCTGAGCGAGGGCGCCCCATGACGCAGAGCTCCGAGGTGCGTGCTTCTCCCCGGCGCTGTCCAGGCATGCTTTCCTCGGGGCCTAAGAGACGGTGGTCAGTGCAAACGGGGGTCAGCCAGGGCACCGGATCCTGCAGGATCCTGCGAACACCTTTTCTGGCTGACCCAGGACAGCGAGCCGCGCGTGGCCGCGAGGCGGCCGCGCATGTCGGCCGACCCAGGTTTGCGAAGACCTGCGTTGCAGTCTTTTTTCCTGCATTGCAGTTTTTGGTCTCCTGCTGACCCGGGTCTGGATTGACCCGGGTCAGCAGGACCCGGATATCTGGACCCGGATGTCTGCCCCGGACCGGACCCAGATGTCTGGACCCGGATGTCTGGACCCGGATGTCTTGGTCGAGCTTTCGGACCTGGACCCGGATGTCTGCCCCTTCACGCGAGAGAGCCGCGTGCTGTCGGGAGGGAGACTCGGCACAGGCACAGACAGAGTATGCTCTGCATGGTGATATGGGCATCTGGGAGACTCAGGACATGAGGAACATCCAGGACATGTGGCAGACAAGAGGGAATCCTCGTGTGCCGATTTTCGCGTGTCTACCTGGCGGGGCTCGTCTCGATTCCTCCGATGCGATTCGGTTCGGCTTCGATGGCTGCCGATTTCGATTCGACTCGACTTTGGCTTCATATCTGGGTTCCAATCTCTCAGTGGGCCTACCGATTTCCGCCGATCCGACTCCTCCCGACTCGGCTGCCGATTGCCTCCGATCCGACTCTTTTCGATCGCCGATCCGACTTGTCTCAGGAGGGGGAACAAAAACACGCAGACACAATGAATCGCTGGCCCCCCAGAAAATATAGGGGAAATGTGGGAAGCGGGGGGGAAGACGAAAACCCAAACAACATGGGAAAGGATGGGGAATCTGTTTGTTCGTGTGTATGTATTTATTTGTGTGTCCTGGGGCCCCTTCGTTCTCGATTCTGGGCCCTCCTGCCCCGGGCACAATCGAGGCTCTCGCGTCCCGCGGGCGCGCTCCGCGGCGTGCCCTCGCGTCCCGTGCGCCAGCGCGCGCACGCTGCAATCTCAGTCGGGGGTGGACAGACCACCTACCCTGACACGTCGATTAAGGAATTGGCCGTTTTCGGTTCGCGAGGGGGCGTCGCGGCCGTCATTTTTGCGGGTCTCCAGGTCCGTCGATTTCGGTCCCAGGCCGTTTGCACTAAGGGGAGGTCTACTAAAGGGAGGTCTGTCCACTGCCGACTCAGGGGGGGGAACAAACACACTTTTGATCTGCGGGGCGAGAGCGAACCTCTTCTGCCAAAAGCTAGGCGGGCTACGCACAGCTTTAATTAGGGAGACAGGGGGGGAAACAAACACACGGACACCACGAATCGTCGATTCCCCCGGAAAAGATGGGAAACTGTGGGAAGTGGGGGGGGAAGACGAGAGCCCAGTATGGGGGATCCTGTTATTCGTGTCTATCTATTTGTGTGTCCTGGGGCCCCTTCGTCAACCACCCCCTCGTTGCCTTTGCGACGTGGCCGTCATCGTAGGTCCCTGCCGCTGGGCGCGGCAACTCCGAAGATGCCCGTCCTGCAGCTCTGGATGTCTCTGTCGGAGCTGGCTGCCCCGATTAGCATACAAGTTCGTTCTGCATGCACATCCTGGAGGCTGAAGCAGAGGAACAGAAACGATTTCACGCCAGCCCCCACCTGACGCCGCCACAGTGCAATCTTCTCTGGCATTGCTTTGTCACTGGTTACCGCATCCGTGGACGAGCGTTTCAGTGAAAGGAAACATTGCATAAGCATAAACTGTCGACGGTCCGCGCGGATTTCTTGGATCTGCGCTGGACCCTCCTGGCGGCGCTTCTGGTCGCCTGGCGGAATCGGGTTTTGGCTCGACGTGCCATTTGGGGAATCCCGCTTCCGCACCGGGGCCCGGTGCCAGAAGCACCTCCACCTCCTCTGATCAGGGGAGGGAGGGGAGGGTGGGGGTGGTATCCTTGCCTGGGTGGCTTGTGTGCTTTCCTGCTTTCTAATACATCGTTTACAGCGCTTCCGGCGAACATCTAATTCAAAAACGCTGCGTTTTCTTTTGTTTTCAAAGTTGGGTGTGTGGAAACTTCGTGTTTGCACAGGTTTCCACAGTGGGGAGGGGAGGTGGGATTTAACCAGTGGTTCCCAGGGTTCCGGCAGGTTGGCACCATGCCGGCGCGGCGGCGACCCCCGCGCGGGCGTTCCAAGGTTGAACGCCGCCAGTGGCCCTTGGCATCGCTCGGACGTGTGCATTTTTTCTCGGCGAGGACCATCGAGGAGCATCTTTGATCATTCAGCGAAAAATGCACGCACGAACTCGAAAAATGCACGGGGAATGGACGTCCGAGCGATGGCGAGGGCCCAGCACCGGCCGACGTCGAGCGAGCCGCGCCAGGGGAGACCCGCGATCCCTCGACGCCGAACGACCCCTCGCGCGCGCCAGAGACCAACGCAGACGGCCCTCACGACCTCAGTGGGCCCCGGAAACGGCAGGGCCGTGTTTTCACCGTTTCCAGAAAAATGCCATTTGAAAATGGAGACGGCAAAAAAGCGGCGACCGGAAACGGCAAAAAAGGCTCCAGGATTGGAACCGGAGCCGGAACCGGTCAAAAAACGGCAACGGAACCGGTGAAAGAACGGCGTCGGAACCGGCAACAAAAACGGCAAAACGGAACAGCGCTAACAAAAACGGCCTTGTCGCTTCCAGGGCCCATGTAAGCTCACGACACGAACCTGCCGCAGGTGACCATCATCATCATCATCATCATCATCATCATCATCATCATCATCATCATGATCATCATGATCATCATCATCATCAGCATCATCATCGTCATCAGCATCACCATCATGATCACCATCACCATCATAGCCTCATCAGCATCATCATCATCACCATCAGCATCATCATCATCATCATCATCATCATCATCATCAGCATGATCATCGTCAGCATCATCATCAGCATCATCATCATCATCATCATCTTCATCAGCATCAGCATCAGCATCATCATCATCATCATCATCATCATCATCATCATCATCGCCATCATCGCCAGCATCATCAGCATCAGCATCAGCATCAGCATCAGCATCAGCATCAGCATCATCATCATCATCATCATCATCATCATCATCATCATCATCATCATCATCATCATCATCATCATCGCCATCATCGCCAGCATCATCAGCATCAGCATCACCAGCAGCATCATCAGCAGGACCGCCCCCCGCCCGGCTCGGCTGCCCGCCGCGCACCGCCGGCGATGGGCGGCCGCGGCGCACGAGCGCTCGCGCTGGCCGTGGCCGCGGGGGCGGCCTGCGGGGCCGCCGGCGCGCCGCCGCGAGGCCCGGCGCGCCTCTCGCAGCGGCTGTTCGAGGGCGCTGCCGACCTGGCGAACCGGAGCCTGCACGGCTCGAGGGAGGAACTGTGGCACGGTCGGAGACCGAGGGTCAAGTCGGGCCTGTCTTTTCGACGAAACATAAAACATACCCCAAACATGCAACAAAAAGGGCCAAAAATACTCTAAAAATAGTCCCCAGACTATTTTTGAAACATTTGTTGATTATTGTTGGGGTATTTTTCATTTTTCGTAGAAATCCCCCTGTAGGGGGACAGGCCCGACTTAAACCGAGGGTCGAGACGCTCGAAGTGGGCACGCACCACCCGCCAAACCACCCCACCCCAACCCGACGGCTTGTCAATCTGCCTTGTATTTTCAGTGGGGGGGGGGTCGGGGAACATTGTGAAAACACATGGAACCCGTATCCCCCCCAACCCGAACCTCGGGTCGAATTCTGGTCTTCGGGTTGGCTTGGGGTGGTCTGGTAGGCAGTTCGGTATTTTCATTTTTCGTCCAAAATTCCTCTGTAGGGGGACAGGCCCGACTTAAGGGTACAATATGGATCGGGGTCAGACCTCCTACCCTGACACGTCGATTAATGAATTGGCCGTGGTCGGTTCGCGAGAGGGCGTCGCGGCCGTCACTTTTGCGGGTCCAGGTCCGCCAGTTTCGGTCCCAGGCCGTTTTCACTAAAGGGGAGGTTTACTACAGGGAGGTTTGCCCACCGACGAATGGAAGCAATGGGTACAAAGTCCAACCGCAGCTCTTGTTCTTTACGAGCAAGGCTCGGTGTCGTCGACGTCGCCGCGGTCGTTGCCCATGCGAGACAGAGGGCCGCTTGCCCAACAGCGGCCGCTGTCGGCTTCGGTTATTGGGCATCGTACATTTTTTTTCTGCACACACTGCGAGCGTCCGAATGGAGGTCGGCGCCAACACCAGTGTCAGCTGTGTGCCTTCACCGACGGACGACGATCCCGATCTTTGTGCGCTGGTGGCGACACGCGGGCTTCCTATAGGTGGCCGAGAGACTTCCGCCAGCACCAAACTTTTGGATCATCGTCCCCCGGTGGAGGCAACCCTCGGTGGTGGATAGACCTCCTACCCTGACACGTCGATGAATGAATTGGCCGTTTTCGGTTTGCGAGGGGGCGTCGCGGCCGTCATTTTTGCGGGTCCAGGTCCGTCGGTTTCGGTCCCAGGATGCTTTCACTAAAGGGGAGGTTTACCAACGGGAGGTTTGTCCACCGCCGAAACCCACTGTGAAGGTGTTGGTGCCTATTCCGAAGCTGCCCGCACTTCCAACTTGGATCTGCGCTGAGCCCCCCCCCCGGCAGCGCCTCTGGCGCCGACCCTGGCTCCACGCATCCCGGATCCCAGATGGGGTCGGAGGACCGCGCCGCATCGCCGACGCATCGGCGAGGCGGCTCGATTCGAAGCTGGGGCTTTTCCCACGCCGATGATGGGGATGCATCGCTGGCGACGCCGATACATCGGCGGTGCAGCGGCGAAGCGGCGCGCTCCTCCGGCCCATTTGCCTCGGCATCGCTCGGACG